TTTTTTTTTGTCTAGGAGGATGTCAAAATAGTCAAATAATAATAAAAGCATGCACATAAAATGAGTGAGAATGCAGCAGCCTGAAGTTGTGCAGCGCAGACATCATTTAGAGAGAGAGAGAGAGAGAGAGAGAGAGAGAGAGAGAGGTGCAGGTGAACGCTAAAGAGAAATGCCCTTACCCTGCACGAACAGTCATCAGAGAATGCAGATAATGTCTCGCTGTTAACTGACCCAGGATCTCCCTCAAGGCTCTATCTAATTCTTCCTCAGCATGCCTTTCTGCTCTGAGATGATAAAACGCCAAAACACACATCATCAGATACTTAAAATAAAAAAGAAAGGAAAAAACGCAGACAGAATGATCCAAAGTAGCCTAAAATGGTCCAATACCGCACACCCGAGCCACAATTTCATCAACATATGAACATTTTAGGCTACTCTGTGTGAAAATAACAGGACAAATAACAYGAGGAACTCTAGAGGGAGGGGTGGGGGACAAAGCAAGCAAACATTATCGCTACCAGCAAAAAATAAAATAAAATCAATAAAAAAATGTCAAAATAAAGCAGCCCAAGCTGGGATGGATGATACCTTTTATCCGGTGGGTAGTACAGAGTGTATGCGTCGTTGTTTAAGGATGGGGGGCTTCGTATAGCAATCTGGTCGCCATCAAAGCCCATGTCGGACAGAGAGTTCCCATCCTCATCGAAGGCATCGTTTTCAAGTCTGTAAAGGGAGGGAAAAACCTGATGCACAAGCAGGGGTGCAGAAAATGTCTCAWTCTGTTCAAGCAACGCGATAAATGGTGGCAAAATGAAAGAAAACGAAAAATAAAATCATTTTAAAAAAAGATTTAATGATGTATTTATAGGTAGTATAATTGTTTAATTTCTTTAAATAAAATTGCAAATCGAAAAAATATATATAATTTGTATTGGATACCATTTTGCAGATCCCACAYCAGCCTCGTTAATAATTTAAGAAAAACGAAACAATGGGTGCTGAAATGATGAGTGCAGGCGCGGAGTCAGAACACTTAAAAAAATAACGTGACTTAAAAGAGCTGAGAAATTTCTGAATCAATGTGAACCACGCCCAAAAAAAATCTGGATGTGTTTTGAGCATCAGTAAGAAAAAAATAGAAAAAAAGGAAAAAATATAAATCTTATACAGCCAGAGCTTTCCTATTTTTGCCTCGCCTCTATTTCGTGACGCCAGTCCATCGTCATCCCAAAGGGCTATCCACTACTCTGACTGCTCTCTCAGTTTTAATAAGGGGAGTTCTGTGAACAGCCCCACCGGACAGATCCGTGCGCGTAATTTCCACAGGCAGCACCTGCGCGCTTTGCAACGACTGGGATGTTCTTTCCTTGGGGGGTTTGGAAACATGCGCGCATGGCTTTGTGCGTAATTTTGCGCWCGGGATCATTAGCATCAACATGACTAATGATCTCCTAAACATCATTTATAACAAACCAATAATGCAAACAACAAAGACAAGGACCGACCTACCTAATCTTAGGGTAACTTAGTCCGATAGGTGTGCAGAAGACGCTGTAGTGCATTAAGATCCCGTAGATGAGCAAGATTAAAGTCGCTTTACTCGAACTGGCCATGCTGTTGGAGAAGGAAAAAAACAAATTAGTTTATTTGTAAAGGAAAAAAGCAAACAATCAAAAAAACGAATAATTTAAATAAACTGCACCATTTATTTGTTTTAATTTTTTTTTGTAAAAGTTTGTCTGTAGCTCAGAATGACTTTACGCAGCTCTCCGACAAAAAATAAATGCCCGTTTTATTACTTTTCTATTGCTTTTCATAATTAAATTGTCCGATTTTAAGACTTTCCACAGGTRAGGTGCAGATCACCTACCTAAGAGCAGGAAGGCGGGGAGCGCGCGGTGCTGCAGGCTGTGATCCGGGCGCGGCTGTGTTGGTAAATCGGTTGTTTTCTCTCTTTTTTCTCTCTCTCTCTCTCTCTCTATCTCTCCCCCAGCACTTCTCTCCTCTCCCTGGTTTCAAGCGCCTCCGACGTCTCCCGATGATCCCCTCAGCGCAGCCTGTCTTTATTTGTAWTTTTTTTGTTTTGTTTTTTCTTTTCTTTTTTTTTTTTTCGGGACACACTTTGAAGAGGACTCCAGCAGGCGCGGGGCGGAGGGGAGGGAACCAAATAGAAAAAACTCAAAGTGCGTTGCTGGATGTCCGTCTACATAGCGCTGCTCCAAACTTTTTGCCCTGCGCTGCGACTGCCGACGATTTTTATCCGCGGATGGTGAGCCTTCAGCCTCCTCCTCCTCCCTCCCTCCCTCCTTCCCTCTTTCTACCAAGTCACATTAAGGATGCTATAGACGTCATCAAGTCTTCCTCCCGGAATATAATAGTACAGTTCCTTCCTCATTGGTGCATCCGTCAGACTGAGACCCCCCACCCACTAAAAAAAGGAAGTTTACTTTAAAACTTTCCCCTCCTTTAATTTAAAAGCAGGATGATTATTTGTCCACACAGTTTTTGTTTCATGTTGGTCCGCTTTAAAGATGAGGACACAGAGAACAGGTCATGTTTGCTGCTGGTTTTACACGACTTGTTGATTTGATTTATTTGGTTATTTATTTATCTGACGGACGTGGCTCAGACGTTCTGCTGTCCCAAGTTCAAGCACCAACCGCCCCTCAGTGGGAGCTGTCCGGTGCTGAAATCCATCCTCTCACATTTCCAGTCATTCTCTCTAATCATTCTGCAATAATTGCTCATCGGATAACAGGGCGGGGAAGTGTGTGTGTGTGTGTGGTGGTGGTGGGGGTGGGATTAATGGGCGTACAGTAACGGCACGAGGTCTCGGCCTGTCCGTTGAGACATGTTGAAGTAAACGAGGCGCGTAATGTGATTTGGGGGGAACAGGAGCTGGCGGTGACGCAGCTGAATGCGTGGCTTTATGGACGATTCAGCCATTTTCAGTGACTTTTTTTTCTTCAATTTCTCTTCTCAAATTCAAGGACTCTGAGTCATTAAATATGCGCCTTTTTTTTGTTTGCTGGAGAAAAAAAACTTGAGTGAATGTTGCTGAACGTGCGTCATAAGCAAACAAAAAAAAATAAATAAAAAACTTGTCGGGCCTACGGTTTGCCTTTTTTTATCATTTAACGCGCAATTACAGGTGTTCTCAATCTGATGTTTGTTTATTCCTAATTAGATTAAASGCCAGGTTTCTACACTGTGTTTTTCTGAGGACAAAGGCCTGTTTTACAGCAGGATATGAGTCAACGTGAGGTTCAACTTGTGGCCATCAGCGCGAAACCTTTTGATTCGTTTAACATCTCAGCTCTCTGAATCACACCTTGAAATCTCAAAGGGAAGACTTTGCCTCTGAGTAGTGGGGTGGGGGTGGGGATTCACGTCAACGTTTTGCTTTAAGCTGACGCAATATGACGAACTGAGCCAGTCACTGCCAGGGGAGGCTGTCCAAAACTTCTTCATTTGTGTATTCTATATTATTATGTACGCGGGACGTGATTTCTGTGAAGCGCGAAACTTACAGCCCCCCCCNCACACACACACACACACACCCCACCACCACCACCACCACCACCACCACCTGTGTGAAGTCAGGAGGCCTCCAGAAAGAAGTATGGATGGATGGAGCTCAGCAGCCCGAGCAAACGGCGCCATCATGAGGAGAAAAGTGAAACATGTTCACTGATCACTTTCAAAAAGGGAAAAGAATAACGCAACGTTTGTTTCTGCATCCAGGAGCAGCTTCAACAGCTGGGGAAATGTTGTCAAACCTGTGCTCGAAAATCTATTTTTTTTCTTTTTTTTTCAGTGTTGTTGGTCAAATTATAGATTAAAAAATTACAAACAGTACTTCAGGCTGCACTGATGATTTCAAAGTCAAAGAAACCCTGAGGTGATGCAGCTTTCTGACTATTYTTTCAGCTGTTCCCTTCRCAGTGAGTCATCCTCCATCTCCCTCCGTCCTCTGCATCTTCTCACTCCACGTCCTCTAACTGCATCCATCCGTCCAGCTGCACCTCTAACATCAATATGTCCCTCCAATGGACATGTCCACCATTTCAGTCTGGCCTCTCTGACTTTATCTTCCGTGTCGTTCGACCTGCGATGACAGGGTTCCTGCTTAAGGCAAGTAAAGTGTAAGACTTTTGAGACCTCTTTAAATGCAACTTGAAATTAAATTTAAGTCCAACCCAACAAACATAAAAATAACTGCAACAAATTTACCCAATTTTTTTGTCTAACAACTAGCCACAGGAATCATTTAGTAAATTATTTTGAAAAAATAAACAAATGTTACTAATGATTTCAATATTTGAGATGAATCACAATCATCCTATGTTAACATTTTAAGACATCTGAAAGATTGATTTAAGACATTTAAGGCTAATTAAGGCCTTATTTTTGGATTGATGAATTATATGTCTTTTAAGACTTTTTAAGGACCCTGCATGAGCTTATTCCTAATTTTGTCGCTCCCAAATTAAGGAGAACCTCAACATTTGCAGCTCTGTCACCTGTCTTCAAACACTATTGTATTGTAAACCTTTCCTTTGACTTTTCCTTTGTCATAAATCACTTCTGCAAATTTGCTCCATCCTTCTGGATGCCCTTCTTCACCTCTTTACTCCCCGTTCTTCTGGACAGTTGACCTCATAGGCAGTTGAAGTCCTGCACCTTTGGAACCTGCAGCTCCTTAACAAAAGTTTTAAGCTGAAGTAACAAGCTGTTGCAAAAAAAAAACTAGACATCAACAATATCATTCAGACACAATGACAATATTTTAATGAGTTAACATGTTCTTCTCATTTTCCATTTTTATCAAGTTCTTTTCTCTTTTGAAAAGTTTATTTACAGCGACTCCCAAATAACAGACTCCAATGTCAACCAGTTACACACAACGCATGTCACAGTCTTCTCCAAAAAAAAAATCTTTAATACACTGCTTGATAAAACATTATAGTAATCTTGCCATAATTTACATTTATTTGTTATTCAGTAAAAGCAAACTGAAGTTCAATATTTTATCTTGTCATTGTAAAAGTATAGATAGAATGTGTTCATTGAGTCACCGTTGAGGCAGCGTGCAAACATTTTTTGAAATGAGATAAGTCTAAGTAACAAGGCTTCCATCCTAAATAAATAAATAAATAAATGATCTGATGAAATAATGAAAAACTTTATTTTTGTGTATCTCATAAAAAGTAAAGAAAAAAATTACCAATGTAACACAAATATGAGCAGGCCTGTCTGCTGAACACTGGCCAATGTGTTTTGTTTTTTGCCCATTTCTGCACACATTGCATTCAGAGTCAGCAGGGGTCAGCAAATCCCTGCAAACGTTTCAAGACCCCCATATGTTAAACCTGCAGAAATGCAATGCAAAGAAAAAAAATATTAATTGTTCTTAAATGTTAATTATTGCTTCTTATAACCTTTCAGTTTTGCACAAATAATGGAGCCTATAGGCCTAATTAAAAACATATTCAGAGCTTTAAGAAGAATAAATATAGCATGTCCCTTTTATATTTCAATTTATCATTGATAATACAGTACTTTGTGTTGCTCAATCATCGTTAAAACCTTTAATCACCATCAATCAATGTTGACTTGGTTTAAGCCCATATCCAAATTAATATGTATAAAAAAATAAATTAGCTAGAGGGCGCCAAATAGTCACACTGAGGACTGGGTTCAAAGGTTAAGCAGGGTGATATAACGTTTTTGTTAGATTTTATTTAATAGTTTTATTTTTTATAAGTGGCTGTTTGTGATTTGAGTAAGTGCAATACACGTGAAGGATTTTACTCGTGTTTTTCGGAGCCGGATGAAACATTTTCTCCTGTGAGACACTGGGATGGCGGCCATATTGGGACATTCAGGAGGATATGATGTCCACTTCAGGATCTGTCGGAAATTACAGAACATGTGGACAAGAGTCAAACAAACGGGACAAATGCACCCAGTTTCTTAAGATTTTTCTTTTCTTTTCTGAATTGTTGTATGTGTGAGAGAGGTGGATATATTTGGTTCTTGTTTTTGTTTGTCACATGTTGCATTATTTTTTTTGCCTGCTGTTGTAGCTAAATACATACACAACAAAACTGATAAAAATAACAATAAGAAGAAAAGTATTAAAGTGTCATGATAGCTGGAAGAATGACAATTGCTCCTTCTTGCAGTTTGATCACTATTGTGACATAACTTTAATATCGTAATTTTTTTGGAGAATAACTAAACAAAAAAGTAGGCCTACTTTATTTTATGATTAACACAATTAATTAAAAACGTCAAATAATCAGTTGTGTAAGAAATTATTGATCAGTCTGACAATTTAAAATAATATTAGTTGGATTTTTAACAGTGCTGAATGAAGTGATACTTGAGTAAAAGTACAATTATCCTACCAAAATTTACTTTGGTAAAAGTTAAAGTCTCTCTTAGGAATATTACTTGAGTAAAAGTCTTAAAGTATCTGATATTTTTTTGTACTTAAGTATTAAAAGTAAAACTATTGATTTGAAATGAGCCAGATTTTCCATAATAACATTTATCAGAGGATCACCTCTCAACTGTTTTTGGAAATGACTATGTCATATTAAAATAATGTTTAATTTATGTTAAATTTAGGATGCACTAGTCTAGCTGTTTCGATTTATATGCATATATCGTGCGTGCCCAAACCTTTTCCCCAAAATGAAAATCTATCTGAGGGCTGCAGCCAAATGCAATAATATATAATTCATGAAATACAAATACTTCTTAAGTAGTCTTTTTATTTTAACGATTATGTCCTGCTGGAGTGTGACATGATTTGTTTGTGTACAAACTAATATGATATCAGAATTTTATATATTTATACTTCTCATTCAACCACAATTAAATTCACTCTATCTTGGAGGCACAATTTTTATGGATAGTATTCTCTTTTTTTACAATAAGAAGCTGAAAACAAGCAAATATTAAATAAAAGTAACGACTTTCTACTTCTTGCATTTCTTTTTAAAATGTAAGGAGTAGAATGTAGGCCTGCAGATAATTGTATGAAAATAAGAAGTAAAAACTAGGCTGAAAAATAATTACTCAAGTAAAGTACAGATACCCAAAAATTCTACTTAAGTACAGTGAAGAAGTATTTGTACTTAGTTACTTTACAACTCTGATTTTTAATATGAAGTAATATAAATCAATATTTCCTTGTGTTAGGCTACATGCTGCGACCACAGTTTGTTACTGAAATGACCGAAAAGAAAGATTCCGAGTCTAATGTGAGCACGTGAATGCACCATGATTCCTTCTTTGGCCTCATCGCCTCCTCTCTCTGAACTGGTCCCGCTATTGTTGTCTGTTCCCGAGAAGCCCTCGTCCACCGTCAAGCGGTGATTTCAGATACTTTTATTGTGCTTCATTGTCGCACCGGTTCATTGTTTGGAAGCCGGCGCTGTGTCCTCGCTGTTAAGGATTTATTTTTTAAAATATATAAGAAAAAAGGATCCCAGGGAGGGAAGGAGTTGGGGCTGGAGAAGTAGTTAATCGGTATGGGACAGACGGAAGACTGAGATTCCACGTTTGAGTGCTTGTGTCGGCTTTTTTCACTTGTTTGGAGGCGATAAAAAGCTGGCGAGGGAGGAAAAAAGCTCTCAGGACGCATGTAGCCGTCGCACAACGGGGCTGAGGTTGGTTATAAGGTAAGAAAAACTCACCGGAAAGTCGCGTTTTCTCATAAAAGTGGGGGAAGCCGGGCCTTGTGGTGTTCTGACACTTGGTGAAAGTTGAGAGAGGACCGTGAGACTTTCATTGGTCTCTTTTTGTTCGCAAAAAGGCTCAGTTTCTGTTCCAGTATTAACTCAAAAAACGAGGTCAAGGATTATTTTTTTGTTGAATTAATCGATTGGGGACAAAAAAAAAAAAAAAAAAAAAAAACGACGAGGGGAGGCTCCTAAAACCGTCCTGAATTGAGAGGATTTTTGTTCTGCTAATAAACTGTAAACAAA